CCAATCCCAGGCATGATTTTTACCCCAAGGCAAAGCAGAAATCAGGAATGGAGAATGGCACAGAGCTCCTTGTCATCATGTTAGCCCTGATCTATTAAAAGTTTTGTCATAGATTCTAAATTACACCATCTGCTCTAATCATTTGCTGAGTAAATGCTGACCCACTTATAAAGAAAACTCACTGAAATGTGTATGCACACTGTTGACCTTCAGAAAGGAAAGGGCTCCTTGCCAGCCATTTGTATGTGGCTCTGCCCTTCAGCAAGCAGTGTGGCTCTGTCTCTTAGCTCCCTCTCATTTCAGACTCTGCATATTCCCAGACATGCCTCTGACATACACTTTCATAGCAGCCTTAAGCATCTTGGTTGTCTTCTTAATAGCTTCGAAACTCTCTCCCTGAATATTTTCAATAGGATAAACTGAAAATCAACCCCCCAGAATAAACCAAATAAGCTCCTCAACCAATTAAATGTCCAAACTGTTAGTACATTTAAAGCCCCTAACTGTTAAGGATTCAGTACCACCCTTAACTCTGGTCTCATATTCCTATAAATTTTACAGTACAGTGTAGAAACCAGCAAGCACGTATCATGCCCTCCTTGCTATACAGATAAATTCTAGTAGATCCTCTTCACATGTCCCCCCTTCCTGCCCATACTTAGGAAAAAAGTTTTCTATCAATCCTCTTGTTACACTGGGTGGAGGGGAAAAAAAACCCAAACCAACCAAATACACGCTTTCTTAGCTGAAGATTACTAAATTAGGTTAAAATACAACATCTAGAGTCAGCAGATGGAGTTGAATTCTGGAGTTTCCATTGTGTCTGTCTCAAGCAGCAAACCTGAGCTGCCTTGTCTCCATTGCTATTTTAACCTCTGCTAACATGCCTGGGCCAACCCACCCACATTTATAGACAACCTTTATTTGCAATATAAACAATACCCGTGACACGATGGATAAAGGGCAGGTCTGTGGGATTTCATATGGGAAAAGACAACTGCTTTTGCCAGCCACTGGTTCCTAATAACCACCTGTCTTCTATTAGTGTCCTAAATGAGGAGGTGGGATATGTCTTGAGGGGGGTCTAACAACTGACCAGAGAAAAGGAGCTGAAGGGATGGTTTAACCTGGTTACATGTGCTCTCTGCTCAGCAGGGAGGTCCCTATATGCTAGAGAGAGTCAGGCTCCACTTTCGTCTACATGAAGAGAAACCAGAAGCTCCCTTTCAGGAGTGATAAGGGGTCTGCTAGACAGAGCATTTACGCAACAGACTGGGAGGAAGAGTACGTCAGATCACGGAGGGGTCCACGCAGTGATTGCTTCTCAAACACAGGGTGAATAATCTTGTACTTAATCTAAATACAAGTGATGAGTTGTAAGAGGGGTGAAAATGGCAAATAAATTCTAGGAAATTGCATATAAAGAGGAATTGTTGTTATTAAATCATTTAGGATGGGTGTGTTTCAAATCTAGCTCACAGTTGAAACTATTTTACAGCTATAGCTGTGGAATTTTAACAAAATTGCACCGTTGCAACAGACCCGTTAAGGATTCATTTCAAGAACATTAGGATAGTCACATGAATGGACCTCAATAGTCTCAACACTTTGTTGTCATCTGAACTCTTCAGTGATTTCCACTGCAGTCATGTATGCAAGAACCAACAACACGTGTGTATTGTGTACATATATGCAAACATATGAGACAGGTAAGTTGCACACACCTGCACAGGCTTATTCCCCAGCTCCACAGGCAGGCTTTCTACAGCCTGCTCCTACAGGACAACGACATGATTTCTTAACATTAGCATCATGGTATTTCTTTTGACTTCTCCCCAGAGATCTCATTTCCTCTGATCTGCCTCTTTTCTGTATTAGAAAGGAAAGACTATACTGCCCAGCACACTCCTGGTACTTGATCTCACTCCAAGATTTGGGTGCTAATCCCACCACCTCTGTACTGCCTGTCTCTCCTGTTGGTGCTTGTGTTTGTGTGTGTGTGTGTATGTACAGACATGAACACCTGCTAGTGACAACCCTACTGGCTGCTTTCCCTGACCTGCTCTGTGCAAGTAGGAAGCAGGACTCTGGCCCATAACTGGCTCCATAGCCCAGCTGTCAACATCAGCTCCCACTCTTTTTTCTCCAGATACTATATATTGCATTTCTGCTTTAAACACATCTTTACATCAGCTCAGTCTAGCAGTCCAAAGACCCTAGTTACCAGGTGTTCCTGTTCTCCTTGCTCTTCCTACAGGACATTCTCCAATGGAATATGGCTGCTGAAGCACTGGGAGACAGAAGAAAAAAATAAAAATCTGTCTTTTTTCCTTGCCTATTTCCAGCAGATAGCTGGAATATTAAAAAAAAAAAAATCACAAAAAATCATCCCAGGCATGAACAATGAGCACTTCTGAAAATTCTGGTTCTAAACTAGTGGAGATCAAACTTCTCAAATAGCCTCAATGGTTTTAGAAATGCCTATGGATACAGGTATAGCTGTTAACTCCTCAGCTATGGAGGGCAAAGCATGTGTTAATGCTCACTTGATGGCCTCAACAATTCTCCTTGACTGTAGGGTCACACAGCAGAATGCTCTTGCTGCATGGGAAGGACTTGCATGCCCTTATGAAGACAAAAATTATTATAATTCCTGTTTCGTGAAAGATCTTTCATTCATCAGTAATGTTTTAGTGGAATAATGGCCACAAACCCTTGCAGCAGTTATACAAATGTCGTTTGTTTTATTTATTTAATGCGTAAGTACAAGCTTTTTAATGAACAGAAAGTGATGATGCACTGCCAAGACAATGGGGAAAGTGGAGGAAAGGATATTGAAAGCTTTGAGCACTGCTCTCCTTTCTGCTGTCTCACTCTGTCTCTCTCATACATTTGCCCTCTCTGCCCGTGGTTCCACTGTGGAAGCCATATGGCTTCCAACTCTCTTCTAAGTAGCCACTGAGAATTGTCTATAGTGGAATAATGCCAAAGCCCTTCCTGGTTTAATGACATGGGGAAGAGCGCTGTGCAGTGCTCACCCAGCACAGAGACTCACTGCGTCCTTGATTATGATCCTGGAGCCAGCAAGCGATGCTGGGAATTGAACCATCAGTGCCTCAAATACAGAAGTCGACATGTGCCAACCCCTGCTGCATTCAGTCTCTGTGCGTGGCATATTAATGAGTCTTGAACTTGAGGACCAACCTTCAAGCTTGTATAGAAAGAATTACCCAAAGACAAACAGAAAAAGGTCCTCTTTGTCCTGTTTCTCTCTAACCTTGCATGGTGACGCTAGTTTCTTCACTGAGTTTGTTCAGTACTCAAACAGTAACTTTTTTTTTAGGCCATCACATCATACCTCTGCAAACCTAACCTTGAACACTAGGTTCAGGGAAGATTTGCAGCGTTTCTTTTGGGCGTTGCAAATGCCTGGTGCATAGTGAAGGCTGGTCTTTTATTTTCTGAGAAACAGTTTTTCTCCACGTGCACATTTGGCAGCAGATACACGGTACAGATGAAAGAGCCTCTACAGAAGGATGCTCTCTTTCTTTGGAAAGGGTTGCACCTCTGGAGGGAAATTTGACAACCTGTGAAAGCTGTGTCCTGCTGCAAATCTGTCCAAAAGTCAGAGAAAGGGACAGCTTGTAGAGGATGAACAGAGCCAATGTAAAATGTAACTCTCCAGGACACCATGTTTCTCTGGTGGTAAGAGAGAAGGACAACACATCATCTACCCCAAAACCATATCCTACAGCCTTCCTAGGCAAAGATAAAGACTTAACGTTCCTATAATAAAATCACACACTGAATTTTATTTCTGTCAAGAAATAAAACAACTTAAGTTACAGTGTTTGTGACATATCACCTTTGAAACACTAGAAATTTAACTAATCAAAACCCAAAACAATCCCTGATGAAAACCTACTGACAGCTATGGAAAAAAGGTCACAAGATTTACCCAGTCACAAAGGAGTGTATTATTTGAGGGATCTAGCCTAAGGCATCAAAGCCCAAGTTGTTCAATGTCTCAGGTCTGCAAATTCACGTTTTTCTTTCCTTAAGTCAAAGATAGAGTTTTTCAAACACACACACTTGGCCAATTTGACTCCCGAACTCACTCAGTAACAGCCATGATGCTAGAGCAGATTAAAAGGTAACACATAGTGTCACTTGGTCACATACAGTCACTGCAGCTCATGTCTGCTATTGCTTAGTGTTCCTGTAGCAAAGAGCAACACTTTTTCAAATACTCCACCTCTTTCTCCGGTGTCTCACAAAACTCACCACAAATTCTCACCAGAAAAAGTACAGTACAGCAATGGAGCAAGAATAGATATAAGTGCAGACCCAGACAGTGTTTTCACAGGACAAGGCAGAAGTACTGGAAGCCTATGTGAATTATTCTCTTTCTTCCTCAGCTTTTGACAGAAATCAACAAAAACACTCCCACTAATTCTGATGGGAACAAACACCAAATCACTTTACTATGCATTGCTTTAATTATTTCAGCGATCCTGAAATAAAACAGTATATAACAATTATTATCCTAAACCAATAGATGGTGCAGCAGCGGTGGACCCACATTCCCTGAAGATCCAAATAACTTGATTTTATCAGTGGCAAAGTTCTCAAAATTATTCTGGTAAGCACTACTGTGATACCAAACCCAAGAAACATCATTCTTCTATGAATAAGCTGCTCAGGTTCCAAACTATCCACCAAAAATATGTTCTTTGTTAAGTGTTTCAAAACACAGAGTAAGGGTTGCTTTTTGGGAAGGCAAGAGCTGTTTGAGTTAGCTGTGATTCAGAAATTCACAGAAACCTCATAAGCTTACAATGAAAACTGCTGTTTGGGCTTTACTGGTCATGCCTCTGTTTCAACTTATCTGAGTTGGGTACCAAACCAGGACCACTACATTTACAGTCTTGCACTTTCAGACAGAAACATGCAGTAACCAGCTTTACCATATTTAATAAAACAATAAACTTTGTGCTGACCTTTGGCAAGCGTTCGGGGTCACCAGGGTGCCGGGGTATAACCTTCTGTAACCTTTGGAAACCATAGTCAATGGTGGGTTCGTTCAGAGCTGAAACAACAACAAACATCATCATGATGTGACAAACGCACAGCAAGCAGGCTCAGTCGCACTGTAACAATTGGCAATGTATTGTGAGACCAAGGAAGGATCACAGCAAATCCTCTTTTAGTGAAATCAGCACTGAGTATGAAGTCTTGGCTCAAATGCTGTTTGAGGTTGGTTCTCAGGCTTTGGTTCAAACAGCAATGCAAACTTTGCCGCTTCAGTTCCTAAAACAATGTTGCTGGAAAATTTGGGGATACTTCTTCCAAATAGGAAGCAATTATTATCTCTGAAAGCTATGATTAAATTAATTTGATAAATACTTTTCACCCCATGTTGGGTTTTTTCCTGCTTTCAAATTACGAGGAAGGTCCTTCGTGATTGCAAGAAAAGAGAAGTAACTATTAGGGACTCTCATTGTTTCAGATTCCATTATATGTTTAATATGCTCCATGTGCAATGATCACATATAATTTTGTTGTGAACTACAGGCATTTGTCTTGGCAGAGGCTTTAGTTTTTACTCATCAACACTGACTTCAGCAGCCCAGCTCAGGCTCAGATCAGCATTAAACTGATCCAAAAGTCTTAATGAATTAAAAAAAAATGGTTTTAGTTCATCTTTCCCCAGTCCCTGTCCAATAAAATAAAGGAGAGAAATGATGGAAGTGGAACACTTTAATCTTCATGAAAATGCTGGTCTGCCTGCATTAATCAAAGCTCTGATTCTGCCAAGCCTTTAAGCACATGCTTATCTGTAAGCACATACTTAAACCCATTTGCTTTCAGCAAAGCAAATTTGAGCATATTATGTTTTTATATGATTGCCTATAATTACAGGGGACTGCACTGAATGACCTTCTAGCTATATTTCTAGTCATATGATCACTTTAAAACTCAGATGTTAGTGAGACTTCAACATGTGCTTAAAATTTCCTAAGTGCTTTGGTGAACTGGAACAACAGTCAAGCATTCTCAAGCACCTCCAAACAACAGCGCATCTTGACTCTTCCATGCCAATAAAGATGATGAAATTTTCCACAGCAATTTGTTTGTAATTTTTTGAATTAAGTAAAAAAAAAAAAAAACAAACCCAAACCATCCAATATGGATTTATTCAGGTTTGGGTTTCTTTTTTTTTTTTTTTGTGAGAAGGTTTGTTTTTTGGGGTAATTTAAAAGTTTTTGTTACTTTGTCTTAGTTTATTCATAGCAAAAAAGAAAAAAATTCTTGCACAAGGTCTAACTTCTAAATTATGCATATATCTTGCATCTTTATGATGGTTTTATTATTAACTTTATTATGTGGCTAGAATGATGCCATCTGATTCCTGCGAAGAGATTTAACTTCAGACTCTATCTCCAAGTCTCACTTGTGTAAGCACTCCCATGTGGCTCAACAATGTTTATCCCAAAGCAGGTTATACAGTTCCATTAGTCTGATCAACATGGCACAATTTGTCCACTTTTCAAGTGAAAAGAACATATTTTCATACTCCTAACATTGAAGATCTTTAGCCAGACCACATTGCTATCATTAAAGGAATACCTAATCCCTGGCTTGTTTTTAGTTAATTGGTGTTCCATAAACAATCCCACAGAACAGCCCATTTTCTAAAGAAACTTTCATTTAAATTATTATTTTTAAACCACATTTCCACAGCAGATGGTCCTACTGGCAACCAAAGAGTCAGATTTTTGTATCCTCCTGAACTGTCAGTACATCCCAGCTCTGTAAGCAGGCTCAGTGATGCTACTGCAAGTTGGGGGAAAAGGTTGTGTTGGAGAATACACATTTACCCAACAGCAGTGAGACAGAGGTGTGTGACTAATGGGGACTGGCTGGAGAGACACACAGCCCAACAGAATCTCAACATTTCTTTAGTGTCAGAAAGGAATCTTCTGAGCAAATCCTCAAATTACAGTACTGTGGTAACACAAGACTGGAAATCTTTCCAGATTTTACTTTCTGGGTTATTATCAGAAGTTTTTTATTGCCCCAAAGATCATGGCATCCCTCTAGCTTCCTTGGTTTTCCACATGCATTTCCTTTTATCAGGAATATCTGAATTTGATCTTTCTTTATATTCAGGTCATTGTAAGGAAGGAGTGAGAATAAGGTTTTCCCCATCTTGTGCCCTTGTTGGTTTTGGGATGATTTGGCCTTTTTCCCATTTTTCTTTTCACACTCTGGCCACATGCTGTCCACTCTGTTGTGTAGTTTTGCAGAAAACATCACAATACCTGGGTTTGTAAACCCCCTGTTTCATTACCTTCAGTTTCTTTACATGGATTCTTATTGTGGACCCGTTTAGTTTAGATCTTCAAATTTTACAACAAATTAATTTACTCCTATTTATATTTATTATAAAAAATAGCTCTACTCTGGAAAGATTAAAAAACAACCCATTACAGTTCTAATTTACATTTCTTTTACAAATGTTACGTGATTTTAGCACGGTTCTGTCAAATGTGCTTCTTCTCTAATTCAGTCTAGTTTATGGCCATTTTCCCTTTACATCCTTTGGGAAGGTAGTTACTAAATTCTGCAATATTATAAATGGAGGCCAGTTCTGAAATCCCCCCCAGAGATAGCAGTCATTTTCTCATATCTTCCCACACATTCAACACATTTGAAATCCACAGAGTATTTCCTGTGAGTATTTTGTGAACTAAATGACCAAAAAAAACGTTAATTTTATGGTCCAATCTCACCAGGCATCAAGCATCCTCTGAGAAATACTGAAAACTTTCTGCTTCAAATAGCTTCAGCTTTACTTCAGTGGGGGGGGAGAGGATGCACACAGCAATTTGCAGGATTGGGTCCTAAACTGTAGTTGTCAAATATCACTGTCTTTAACTGTTCAATCCTTTCAGTATTAGTTAAAATAAATAAGAAAAAATCTTTAGCTGCCTGAACATCTAACCACAGATTGGATGAGATCAGCCCTCCATTCCTCAGTACATTTATGATCCAAGTCGAATGTAATTACTCATATCTTTAAGAAAAAGCTCTATTTAAATATTTCACCCCACCTTCAGTGTTAAGGCCACACCAATTCCTCTGTCAGTAGCTGGCAAAATTCCAAGGAAAAGGTGATATCCTGATCTCTAAGCATTGTGAAAGAGCCAGAGCTCAGGCCACCGTTTGTGGCAGCTAAGACAACGTTTTGCCTCTGTCCCCAGTACACAGGAGCCTGGTCTCTGCCTTTGAAGTCCGTTGACAATAACACATTTCCCATTGCTCTAGTTCAAAGAATGGGGTTGGATTTTTTTAACATGATTGGAAAAAAAGAATCAATAAGAAATACAGACTCTCTATTTGTGTTCTTGACATCCATACATTAGAAACAAGCTAACAAATACTGTACTTAAAATGCATTCCCATTACCCTAAATTTTAAAAGTACTATTGAAAGTACTGCTAACTTTAAAAAACTGTACTAAATTCAAATAGGTCCCAAGGCTAATGGAAGCAATTTGTATACCAACCCAAACTGACTGGCCCACTTTTCAAAATACAGGTATGATAATCTTGCGGTTTTAAAAGGACATTTAAATTGAAATACTGTGAATTTAGTACATAATTATACCAATAGAACCCTTTAACTTGTCAACTTGTAAATCTAAAAGGCTATCAATCATTTCTAAAGAGGAAATAAACCTTAAAATTCTTTGATTGACAGTGCTTACTTTTTATGTAGGAAAAAAAAGAGTAAAGTGGCCAGAAATCCATTTACAAAAGTACATTGTTTTACATAGGTGAGTAAAAAGCCAATAATTACACCTCCAAAAGACATATAAATCAAAGTAAGTACTTTTCCCTCACTTACATATTTTAAGTTGCAGTAAACTTCAGGTAACTTTATATTAAAATACTTTTCCAAATGCAAAGCTTATTGAAGCCATTAATAGAGTAGCATTTTCATTTAAGCTAATATAATCATTTTTGCAAATACAAGATTTAAGCCATTTTTCTCCTTCCAAACAATAAACTTTCAGCCTGTCTCTTGTGTGAATTAACTAAAATTACACCCAGGTGTACAAAATCTGTCTATCTATCCTAGTGTATGAGTTAAGGCACAATATTTATTATTCTTACCATTTTATGAATTACTTCTTAAACCCTTGAGGAAGAACTTTCTTTCAAATTAGACTCTAACAGAATAATCCATGAAGCTCTTTATGCAGCAAGTCTAAAGCCATAACTTATAAAATCTAAGGCTTTTAATCAAGAAAATGCACAATGTCTATGGAAATAAGGATGCGTACATTATATTCATCTTTTCAAAGTCCAACTTATTTTTCAACAGAAATGCAGGTTATGCCTCTGAGAAGAATAACTATAATTCCAAATTCTGTACGAATAATTTTAATAGCTGCATGTAGATAATCCACCATCTTTAAAAGTGTTCTTTTTAACTAGTCATGGAGGGCTTTTTTTAATATTTCACATAATGAATTCCTACTGTGTCAATAAAGCTTTGGTTGTTAATTGAATGACTGTCTGATGTATCCGAGAGAGGAATTTGTTTCTCTGGCCATGCTGCCAACTTACAGCAGAATGATCGACACTTAATATCAGCAATTAAAAGGACCTGTTCAAATATCGTATGGAATTTGTAGCTTGGGGTAGTGTAGGAGAACTCTTTACCAAGGAAAACTCATTCAGTGAATGCAGAGAGTAATTGAATTAGATGCATTTTAACATTATTGTTCAAAGAAAAATAAACACACACTACATAGAAGCATTATGGAAATATTTCTGAATGTAAAACATATTCAGTTAATTTGTTTCCCATGCATTCATGGTTTCATTTATTCCTTTTATTTTTCAGCCCTTGTTTCTTTTTCATTCTGTTTGACCTAAAACCAATGAGAAAGCAGCACTTAGACCTATGAACTTCCCATGTGCTTTTCCAGTGGAAAAAGCTGCAAGGAGAGGGAAGGGACTCTAAGGGCTCAAATAACAAAAACAAAATAAGGCTGAAGGCTACAAACAAATTGGC